ATGCATAGAGTGTGTGGGAGGTAATACTGGGCCCGTCAGGCCCCAAAAAAAATATTGACTGATTTTAAATTTTTTTTTTAGAACATATAATTTTGGAAAATCCTCTTTTTTGGAAAAAAAAAAACCAGAACAAATCCAAACCAGCAAAGTTTTTGCGACTTCTGCCGCATTGCAAAGGAGCGAAATTTTTAATTCTGCACCACTCTTGCCGAGGCATTTCCTCCAGAATTTTGCTTTCAAAAAGGGACCTGATTTCGTTTCAGAAAAGGAGCCTACCCAAAGCAATACAAAATTAATCCATTCTTCCGGAATATCAAATTGGTTAAGTCTGTGACGCAGTAGTTTGAGAGTGGCTATAAACCTGTGTAGAAGATAGCAAAAAAAAAAGAACAATACGGCCCGTGGAGGCCCTACCAGCTCGTGCGTGATTACCACGTATACCCGTGGACTGGGTTTGAGCTCATTAATACCCACTTGGACAGGGAACATCCCCCTAAGATTTCAGCTTTCTAGCACCTCATTTCTCCAAATTATGAACTTAGCCGGAAAAAATTTTGGCAGTGGGAACTATAAACAGCCTAAAACTTTTAAATGGTTATTATCGCAAGCCAAATTTACGCAACCAGAAAAGGCGCCACTGCCTCCTTTTTAAGCAATTCTGAACGTGTTTTTTCCATGTTTCGGCAAATTTTTTTGTTTGTTATTTCGGTGATTATCGGCAGTTACACTGACATTTGTTGCCGGTGGTGATGATGAGCAGGGTCACTGTATATTCCATTTTGGGCAACTGTTTTTTTTTTGCTCAGTCCAGCTGCCAGCTGAACCCCGTAAGAGAACAATTCATGTACCGGAATTTTGCGTTGTTTTGTTATTTAGGCTGTATCGTCCCGGGTTCAAAAAACTTTCTTTTTGATTGCCAGCATTTTCAAAAAAAAAAATCCGCCGTCAGAGCCTAGGCCCAGCGATGAGCGCCCGTTTGGCTGGGAATGATGCGGTGCTGGCTGGCCAGAGATATGGGTCGGGGGGAGTTAGTTCTGGTTTTGGCTACGGAAGTTGTCCCGCTTGCAATACCAGTGAGCACCCCTTGATTAGGAGATCCTCTAGCTAGAAGCCTGTCCTGTCTTTCTGTTCCCGGTTTTTTGCGAACGGAACCGCTGGCCAGAGGATAGAAATCGTTGAGAGGGGGGGGG